AGAGGTTCTGGCAGGCTGGTGGCAGGGGAAGCTGCTCCGGAGGTCATAGATCTGGGCTGACTTTTCCCACTCCAGCCAGGAGCAGCCCAGCAGGGTGACTGAGAACAGCACAGCCAGGAGGGCAAAGAGCCCCCACGAGGCCAGCAGCAGCAGCAGGTGCAGCAAGCCCAGCATCATATATTTGATACAAAATAACTGAAAACATGTTCTCCAAATAAATGGAGATTCATGAAAAAATAGCATCTCCCCTTCCACTTAGTCTATTAATATTAAGTTTAATTGTATTAATAGTCCCTGTGCCTTACTGTTTCTTCTGTCTTTGTGTGCACTGCAGGATATCTGGCTTTTTTGCTCCATAAATTATTTTCAAACTGTGTCTAAGTATTTGATGAAATTAGCAACTCATGGATAAGTGAATGTTATATTTCTATTTTATTAACAACAGATGTTTATTAGGACTAAATGCTTTTTTCTATATTTAAAAATGTACATTAAAATCCTCCTCAATTTTTTCTGGTTTACTCAAAGGGTACAGAACAAAAAGTTCTGCACTGCTGGCCAAGGCAAGATTTCTTGGCTTCTGACTGTCATGGTCCAGGACTCAAACTCTGAATGAGCTGCTCCAGCTGAACCTGTGGAGTATTAGCCTCAGGAGACATCAAGCCATGAATCACTTGATCAAACACAGATATCATTAGAACAGTTGGAGCAGTCAGATGATGAGGAATGGCTGCCAAGCCCTCACACTCGATGAATGGAGCAGAGAGTAGAACAAAGATGCTGAATGCTCAGGGAGAAACTATTTTAATTTAAGATAGCTGGCTTCAGCATGATTTAAGAGGCAGCCTGATCCCTGTTTCTCCATTGGAAACAACTGTCTGATTTCCTGCTTAGTGTGTAGTTTTTGTGAAATCTGATCTTTGGACTGACTGACAAACCTGCCTTGGCTCCTGAATTTCAGGCTTCTCTTCTATGAGTTCTCCTTATTGCTACTCAGCACACAAAATGCTTGTGCAGTAGTTAAAAGTAGCTATCAGACAGTTAGTAGTGATCTAAACTTCCTACCAGAAGTTGCTTCCTCTCCAAAACCAAAAGCCTTTTTCTAATTTGCTCTATAAAGGTTAATTCATTTTTAAAAAATGATTTATTTTGGCAGGATGTATTTTGGAGAATGTAGAAGCTAGCTAGCCTTAAATTTAATGGGATGGAATGGGGCGAAACTTAAAAGAAAGCCTCTTTTTAAAACAGAAAGAGAGGTCTATTATTTAATATCTGTCCATATATATATACAGTCAGGTCCATAAATATTGGGACATCGACACAATTCTAACATCTTTGGCTCTATACACCACCACAATGGAGTTGGAATGAAACAAACACAATGTGCGTTAACTACAGACTGTCAGCTTTAATTTGAGGGTATGTACATCCAACTCAGGTGAACGGTGTACGACTTACAGCAGTTTGCATATGTGCCTCCCACTTGTTAAGGGACCAAAAGTAATGGGACAGAATAATAATCATAAATCAAACTTTCCCTTCTTAATACTTGGTTGCAAATCCTTTGTAGTCAATCACAGCCTGAAGTCTGGAACACATAGACATCACCAGACGCTGGGTTTCATCCCTGGTGATGCTCTGCCAGGCCTCTACTGCAACTGTCTTCAGTTCCTGCTTGTTCTTGGGGCATTTTCCCTTCAGTTTTGTCTTCAGCAAGTGAAATGCATGCTCAATGGGATTCAGGTCAGGTGATTGACTTGGCCATTGCATAACATTCCACTTCTGTCCCTTCAAAAACTCTTTGGTTGCTTTTGCAGTATGCTTTGGGTCATTGTCCATCTGCACTGTGAAGCGCCGTCCAATGAGTTCTGCAGCATTTGGCTGAATGTGAGCAGATAATATTGCCCGAAACACTTCAGAATTCATCCTGCTGCTTTTGTCAGCAGTCACATTATCAATAAATACAAGAAAACCAGTTCCATTGGCAGCCATACATGCCCACACTGTGACACTACCACCACCATGCTTCACTGATGAGATGGTATGCTTAGAATCATGAGCAGTTCCTTTCCTTCTCCATACTCTTCTCTTCCCATCACTCTGGTACAAGTTGATCTTGGTCTCATCTGTCCATAGGATCTTGTTCCAGAACTGTGAAGGCTTTGTTAGATGTTGTTTGGCAAACTCTAATCTGGCCTTCCTGTTTTTGAGGCTCACCAATGGTTTACATCTTGTGGTGAACCCTCTGTATTCACTCTGGTGAAGTCTTCTCTTGACTGTTGACTTTGACACACGTACACCTACCTCCTGGAGTGTTCTTGATCTGGCCAACTGTTGTGAAGGGTGTTTTCTTCACCAGGGAAAGAATTCTTCGGTCATCCACCACACTTGTTTTCCATGGTCTCCCAGGTCTTTTGGTGTTGCTGAGCTCACCGGTGCATTCCTTCTTTTTGAGAATGTTTCAAACAGTTGTTTTGGCCACGCCTAATGTTCTTGCTATCTCTCTGATGGGTTTGTTTTGTTTCTTCAGCCTAATGATGGCTTGCTTCACTGATAGTGACAGCTCTTTGGATCTCATCTTGAGAGTTGACAGCAACAGATTCCAAATGCAAATAGCACACTTGAAATGAACTCTGGGCCTTTTATCTGCACATTGTAATTGGGGTAATGAGGGAATATCACACACCTGGCCATGAAACATCTGAGAAGCCAATTGTCCCATTACTTTTGGTCCCTTAACAAGTGGGAGGCACATATACAAACTGCTGTAAGTCCTACACTGTTACCTGAGTTGGATGTACAAACCCTCAAATTAAAGCTGACAGTCTGCAGTTAACGCACATTGTGTTTGTTTCATTCCAACTTCATTGTGGTGGTGTATAGAGCCAAAGATGTTAGAATTGTGTCGATGTCCCAATATTTATGGACCTGACTGTGTATACATATACACACACACACACACACACACACACACACACACAATATACATACATACATACATACATACATACATACATACACACACACACTAGTAGGCAGTAGTGCTTTAATGCCAGTTTTTCCAAAACAAATTGGAAGAATTAGGCCCCCATTTGGGGAAAGTGTTTGTTTGAGCGGAAAGAAATATTCTTTTGAACAATTAAAAGAGGACTGATTTGAAAAGCAAGGGAACAGGAACAGGAAACTAATCCTTTTTCTCAAGCCGTCACACTGAGTCAAATCTGAAAATAAAGGTGCTATAGCAGTTATCTCGAAGGGAGACAAGAAAATCAAGGCTCACTACCACTTCCGCATGGAATCTTATTGTCCTTTACCTTAAATTTGTTGTTTTGTTCTTCTGACAGATCACTGTCAGATCACAGCAATTGCATCCAGAATGGCTTCTTCTATGATACATGTTCCTTGAATGACTGCTACTGTTTTGCTCCAAAATTCCATAATGCTAAGTGACAGTTACATAGAAGTGACCAGTCTTTTTTGTTGTTTGGCTCTGACAATTAAAAAGTAACATTCTGAAAAAGCAACTTCCAATCAAAGCAAGTAAAACAGAACACCCAGAACCCCTTTTACCCAGAACAATAGTATTTGGAATGGTATACAAAACAAAGAAACCCTATTTTGATTTGACTCCTTGAACAAAGCATCCAAATCATGTTTTGGTTAAAGCATGGACAATATAAACCATCTGTTTCAAGTACATTTTTACAAATCCCTGAATTTATTACAATAAATTATTACAAGAGCCTGGTGGCGCAGTGGACTAAATACTGTTAAAGTAGCACTTAGTTGCCAGCTGCCTGCAAGTTCAAATCTCACCAGGCTCAAGGTTGACTCAGCCTTCCATCCTTTCGAGGTAGGTAAAATGAGGACCCAGATTGTGGGGGCAATAAACTGACTTTGTATAAAAAAGAACACCGCTTAGGGGGGTCCGAAAGCCCTACTAAGCAGGTATATACAAAAGTATGAAGGCTATTGCTTAATGCATTGTAAGCCGCCCTGAGTCTCCGGAGAAGGGCGGCATATAAATCGAACCAATAAACAATAAATAAATAAATAAATAAATATTCAGTTTGTTTTTTTAATAAAACAGATAAAAATGATGAGATATAGCTCAAGAACATGACAAAACATATTAGCAAAACTGCATTGGAAAATATGTTAAATATATTTATAGCAGCATTAACAGAAGGCTGAGATAAAGGCTGTTTTCCCTGACATAGTTAGGGAAAATTAGGACAAAAGCATATTTTAAATTTAAGGAAAAATTACTGAAAGGAAAATGATACTCTGCAAATTTATTAAACAAGCTCTGAATAAACATCCAGCTAAATATGACATACACACAATGCACATTACTGTAATCCAAAATGTGATTTATGTGGCTTAGTATGTTGAGTTCAGTTACTGTAATTTATTAAATAAAAAATGATTAAGTATGCTACTGTAAACCATAATGTGATTTGTTGAAGTATTGGCTTAGTAAAGTGTGTGACCAAACCATTGTGACTTAACAATGGTTTATGGCTTGATATCTCTTATTTAATGAATCATGCCTGAATAATTTAACACAATGTATAAACCAGACCCAGCATACCATAACACAAACTAGCATAAATATGAGATGAACCAGCGTGAACTTCCAAGACTGCATTCATTTACTGCCCGTATAACTTGTTAGCTGCAAAACACAAGGAAAGCAGAGGGGTGGAACGGGTGTGATTGCAGGACACGCTTCGCGGTGTTATACCAATGTTGGGGAGCGACTGTCTTAACTGAATATACAATGTTTTTTATATGGGAACCAGTGAAGGAGCTGTTGTTTTGACAGAAAAGAAAAAAGCTTGTGTATTTTTATCGGCATATAAGGTGAATTTGCGGGTAAACAGAAGCGTAGACAAAACCCAAACGTGCCACGCTCTAAACTAGCCGTCATCTATCGATCCCTACTACGCATGTCTCGACTGAACAGGAACAAAGGACCGTTATGCCGTCCGTTAAAGCTGTTGCCTAATGCGCATGCGTAGCTGGTTTTTGCACTAGTTAAAATGGCGGCGCCCGTGGATCTTGAGTTGAAAAAGGTAAAGAAAATGAAAAATAGGGCTGGGAGTTTCCTGAAAGTAAGAGGAATTTGGAAGTTAGGGTGGTTGTTGCCCATTATCAGAAGAGTTCGTTTGGGTTTTGGTGGTTGGTGTTGCCTCTAGAGAGGGTCTTCTAGGAATTTTAGGCACTTATGCATTAAGAATATCAGACTTCTTAATATTTAATAGATTATTCTTGGTTGATCCTTCGAGTCGAGTGCGATGCCTTGTGATTTCATAGAATATCACCAAATTCTTCTTGATGGGTTCATGTGATCCCTCTCCTCAAGTTGGCGAATGGTCTCTACGAATTTTTCATACCTGTTTCCCTTCCCCCAGCAATATATATTTGGAAGCATTTTATCTATGAATGGAATTATGGCAACAATTTATTTCTCATATGATTCATTTTCTATTTAAGCTAGTGTCATTGCCTGTTTGAGAATGTTTAAGAAGAACGTTTTGGAAGAAATTTAAATCTTTTGGCTATAAATTTCGTTTTGTATCAAATTTTGAAAATAAAAGGGGGAAAGCATATTTAATTCTATTTCAAAACTTGTCAGGTGATAATCAAATTTAAATTAGGTTACTTTGTTTTGTATCTATATAGCAAACGTATAGCTGTAGACGTTTTGGGGAGGTGTTGAGATATGTTTTAACATTCACATATTTAATCCTACAGAGATTGTATCAAACATAAAAATAAATTTAAAATCTGTAGTATTTCAAATCAAACCAAGCTAACTTGTCCCAAAATGTAATTCTAACAGTTTCAATATCAAACCAGGGCACATTTATAGTACCGGTCACCTAATGAATCTTTCAGCCTGGATCAAACTCTCTCAAATTATTGTAATAAATTATAATACTTATCACCTTTCTGCAGGAAAAATATAAGGTGATTATACTTCTGATTTCATCTGTCCTTTAGGCTGCATGGACAAGCACATTAGTTAACTGTGACTTACAAAACTTTTCATATCTTTTTAAATGTTAATATATTACCCAATTTGAATCTTCAGGATCTGCTTTTTTATGTGGAAGAAATAAATTAAACCATCATAGCAAGTAAAAATCTCCACAGATTGATAAAGCTCATTGAGTCCATACATAACTGGAGGATATAAAGCTGTTTATACATTGCACTAAAAATAATATGGTTTTTGCTTGGTACATTGTATGAATCAGTTATAAAGGAGTTTGTAGAATGTAGAGCAAATGTACAGCAGAATGCGTAGTACTCACCATTAGCTTGCAGAATTGTTTTTACAATTATATAATGCATGGTAAATATTCTTACCGGTAAACTATATCCTCAAAGCTGTGATGCAGGCCCTGGTGGGCAATTCCCATTTTTTCACACCATTATCTGAATTATTTAACCTGATTAAAAAAGTGTTATACCAGTTTACTATTTGATGATTGGAATATATTTGTTTCTCGCTTCTAGATATAATTAAAAATACATGCATATTCGTTTTCACCCCGTGTTGTTACTGGTTTTTTTCTTTAATATTTTTTGATGTTTGGTGCATATTTTGCATGTTTCTTTAATTTATCTGATGTTTAAATATACAGTACATGCTGTAGGGATTGCAGTAGGGAGAAAAGAGGTCTGCTCTATTGCCGTTTTTAACCATGGTGTCAGCTGCTACTCATGCATTAGACTTTCTGAAGTTATCCTGGCTTTTCTCTTTTAATAAATGACTAGTTAGATAGCTGCTAAAAAAATGAAAATATGCATTACAGGTGGTCCTCGATTTACAGCAGTTCATTTAATGACCATTCAAAGTTACAAAGGCACTAAAAAAAGTGACTTGTGACCATTTTTCACACTTACAATTATTGCAGTATTCCCCCTGGTCATGTGATCAAAATTCAGATGCTTGGCAAGTGACTCATATTTATGACAGCTGCAATGTCTCAGGATCATGTGATCACCTTTTGCGATTTTCTGACAAGCAAAGTAAATGGGGAAGCCAGATTCACTTTACTGATTTAACAACTGCAATGATTTACTTAAAAACTGTGGCAAGCAAGGTTGTTAAAAAGGGGGCAAAATTCATTTAACAAAGTGAGTTTTTCATTTAGCAACAGAAATTTTGGGCTCAATTGTGGTTGTAGGTCAAGGACAACCTATATAAAGAGACAGAGGTTTTTGTGAAGAATGAAGACTCACAGATTCTTTTTTTTTTTTTTAAAAAAGCTACATTTGTATTGTTTTCCATGTCAGGCATTTTCTGAACTTCAAGCTAAGGTCATTGAAACCCAACAAAAGGTGAAACTGGCAGATATACAAATAGATCAGCTGAACAGAACAAAAAAGCATGCACATCTTACAGACACAGAGATCATGACTTTGGCTGAAGAAACGAGGATGTATGAAGGTATAGGACGAATGTAAGTAATGGTTCTTGTTTGTCATTTATCTTATTTACATTCAGTTTTCTTGTTTTCTCATTTTTTTCTGCAACATTTATACCAAATTTGTATGACACAGCTATCAATATTGGAGTTGAGTTTAGCATATCATCTATACCAAGACTAGGGTTTAAACAGATCATTAACCATAATTTGTAGAATCATTTATTCTTGATTTATTTAGTATAATCATGGTTTTGCATATCATATGAATTAGCATGTTTGTCTCATGGTTAAACAGTTATTAGTCTGAACCGAAAATGAGGTGGGATATTAGATTATCTTGAGTGCTTCAAAAATGGTAGGTAAGGGATTGTCTACCATGTGTGATTACTTTGATCTTGATTGGTTACCATGCTCTTGTACTTTAAAAAAAATAACAATTGACCATTTGCAAAGATGGTTTGAGTCTTTTAGAGGGGCAACGGCTGCTAAAAATAGGGAGTCTTAGAAGATTCCTGACAGCGATCAGCAGTACCTTCTGTAATGCATTGTATGGATAAGAGTCTTTCCCATGGTTAATGTTACATGTGTCTAATGCATACAGCATCTTTCTGATTTCTATCAGGAGACATATCTATTAACTGCTAAAACAAAGTTTGTTTGCTTTAACTTTGTTTCTAATCTGGAAATTACTGTTTTGCTTTTATACACCTTCACATTACTTTTCCTCCAGTGTGATAGTACTACCGTATCTTTCATCAATGTCCCTTGGATTCTACATAGGGCAAACTTTATACAAAAGAATGGATGCAAATATGACATCCCTTGCAAAACTCAATTTTAGCTTCCAGCCCTCACCCATGTCACCAAGTTGGCCTTCATGAATGCCAAGGAACAGTAGAATTCTTTTGTTCTAGGGACAACCTAGACATTAGTAATACAATAGTACATGTCTTACTAATGTCCTTACTAAAACAAGGATCCAAGCTTTCATAATTTTATTATTTCCTATAATTGTCAAATCAGTGATAAACCCATTAAGCAAAGCAAGTACTTGAAATGTTTTCATATTTATTTCCAATCATCTACTTTCTGAAGTAACCAAATAAGTAATCTCTTCTCAAGAGCACAAGAAACTGCTAGTGAGCATACAAGATTTGCAAACTACAAAAGCAATAATGATTGTAGTCCCTGTAGGCATCAGATAATTCAAACTGAATGTCTTACATTTGCTGCTATCTGGTGTGCAATTCTGTGCACATAAGGACACTTCTACCCTGTAAGTAATTCAATCCAACTTTTTGAATTTTTGACACATTCTCTGATCCCAGGATCAGCTAGAAAGGTACTCTTTGAGATGAGGACAATTAACCAGTGGAATAGCTTGCCTTCAATCATTGTGGGTGCTTCATCAGTGGAGGTTTTTAAGAAGAGATTGGTCAGTCAATTGTCTGAAATGGTATAAGATTTCCTGCTTGAACAGGATTAGAAGACCTCCAAGGTCCCTTCCAGCTCTATTCTGATTCTGAAATTGGCTCTTTCTTTTGAGTCTTGGCTGAGACTTTGGCAACTTGCTATATACATATATACTGTATGGTTGTTTATTAAAGAAGTATAAATTAAAACTCACTCAAGATAACATGTGAACTTAACCAGAATGTTTAGGTTACTGAAAGCAAATATATAAATTTTCAAAAATATTTTTGGTTCGGTTTTTCTTTAAATAAATATTTTAAGTACCAGTATATATTTTTGCTCTGTAGTTAGTTAGGAATTACAGAATCATAGAAACGAACTGGACTCAAACTTTGTTCTGTGCAGGAATTTATAAATAACTCATACCTACTACAACCCTGTACGGTAAATTGGGCTGAGAGGCCCAAAGTCATCCAGCCAGCTTTTAGGCTTAAGGTGGGACTAGAATTCATAATCTCCTGGTTTCTAGCCTCAGACCTTAACCACTAGACCAAACTAGTTCTATTAAAGCATCTCTCATTTGGCCTCTTCTCCTCAGGCAAGGGAAAACTGCATTTCTCTAAAGAATTGGTTCTGTACAATTTATTGGAATGAAGTGTTGCCTAATATTCAAGTGGAATTTGCTTTCTTGTAATTCAAAACTATTGCTTTGTGTTTTGCTCTCTGGAATAATAGGGCAGGTAATACTTCCTCAATGTGATCTTTCCTCAAGTATTAGAAGAATATTATCAGAGACAGTTTCTGTCATATTTTCTTAAAACTGTACTCTGATTTTTTTCTCATAAGATTTGGTTTTTAATATTCTATCAATTTGTTTATTTGCATCTGTTTCAATTTGTCTGAATCCCTTTTAACAGGTAATGCTAAAACTAGATAATACTTAATATAGAATCTGACTAGAGCAGAACAGAATGGAAATATTTATGTCCCTTAATTTGGGCAGTTTAATTTTATTGATGTGAGCCTTTATTTCACATTTTTGGCAATCATGTAGGGTGGATAAAAATCAATGATTTTTTTTAAAATAAAAAAATCAGATTTTTTTGATTTAAATCGGATTTTTTTGATTTAAATCAGATTTTTTTAAATAAAATGCTTTTTGAGGAAAATATATTACCATCCAAAGGTTATTCCATCATGAAATAAAGATTAGTTTTTTAATTATGTAGAATAAGGCTGTATATGTTTAATTTTTTGGTAAATAAATTCCATTAATCTATTTACAATGTCATGCTCTTCCAGAGGTTTTTGTAAGATTATTGGGCAGTTTCTCTGCCTACACGATATTATCACAGATGCTTGGTTTACTTTTGCAGTTCTCAAAACTGAATTTGACTCCGCAAAGATCACATGCCTCCTCTTCACAGCAAAAATGTTATAACATGAACAGAGTTGAGAAAAAGACCTTAATCCTATTGTTCTACAAATCTATGAATACAGAATTAACCCCTTCAGTGCTAAGTTTCAAGAAGTTCAGTGAATAGAATAGAAACAATATTTTTCTGATTGTTTGGAGTGGAATAGATCTGCACAAGAAGAAAGTGAAACTAAGTGTGAGGAGGAAGGGGCAAGCAGACAAGCAGTACAAAATGAAAGTGAAACTTTCTGAGCACAATACTGCACAGCCACAGACAGACAAGTCTTTGGATCTTTTTGTGTGTATGACTTGAGGTTTATCACGTTCTTTCCTTGGAGGAAAAAACCTATAATGGCAGCAGGCCGTAAAAGAGACCCAGTTTGGCAATATTTTAATGAAGTTCCTTTACCTATCGGTAAGGCAGGCATGCATGCAAACTGCAAACACTGCAACAAAGAAATGCAAGGCCTGGTGGCCCGAATGCGGCAACATCATGAGAAGTGCTGTGATGAAGATGACCAAAGAAACACATTTGAACAGCTAGGATCTTCAGGTTGGTAAACATTTTTATTGAATCATATTTCTAAAGACTGCCTTGAACTGTCATGTTTGAAAATTATATTTCTTATTATTACTGCATGTTACTGTCAATTGGCTCAGTTATGAAGAAAAACAAATATTCCTTTTGGGGCAGTGCTGTGTACAATAAGCAGAAATTGTATAAACAATAAAATAACAGCATTGACTTTTTTGTTTAGGGGAATTCATGGATTCTGGAAACTCTCCACCTTCAAGATCACCATCCTCCTGTTCTACAGTTTCAGAGTTATCCGTCCAGGATAGTGCTTCATTAGCATCATCATCATCAGACACCCACAGCCACATATCACTATCACCTAAAAGAAAGAAAAAACCCTTCCCTCCTGGAACCACCATAGATAAGTTTGTGATAAAAACTAGCAGATTAGAAAAAGAGTTAATTGATGAAAAAATTACCCAGTTTGTTTATGCAACGAACTCTTCTTTCCGTCTGACTGAGAACCCACATTTCATTAATATGGTTCAGTCACAGACCAGGATACAGTCCACCCAGCAGAGCAGATGTTGCAGGAAAACTGCTGGATAAAGTGTATGACAGAGAAATGGAGCAATGTGCAACAGCTCTGGAGGATAGAATTGTTAACCTAAGTATTGATGGGTGGAGTAATGTCCACAATGATCCTATTGTATGTGCTTGTATAACAACAGAAGAAGGGAAAGTCTTCCTTGCACAAACAATTGATATGTCAGGAAATGCACACACAGCAGAATACTTACAAGAAGTGGCAGTAAAAACTATAATAACGTGAACAAAAATTCAAATGTCTAGTACGCAGTTTGGTCACAGACAATGCTGCAAATGTATCCAAGATGAGAAGAAATTTAGAAGAGCAGGAAGGGAATACAAAGCTAATAACATATGGTTGCAGTGCTCATTTGCTGCATCTCTTAGTCAAAGACTTAAGTGTTCCAGAAATAAAGACTAATGTTGTTGAAATTGCTAAATACTTCTGTAACAATCATTTTGCTGCAGCAGCTCTGAAAAGGATGGGTGGAACCAAGCTAACGCTCCCACAAGATGTTAGATGGAACTCTGTGGTGGACTGTTTTGAGCAGTATATCAAGAACTGGCCTATTCTGATGACAGTTTGTGAAGAAAATCGAGATAAAATAGATGGCACTGTCACGGCCAAAATCCTCAACATTGGGCTTAAGAGAAATGTTGAACATATGCTGAGCATCCTGAAACCCATCTCTGAAGCTTTAAATAAAATACAGAAAAATAGCTGTTTTATTGCTGATGCTGTTGAAATTTGGAAGGAACTGAGTGAACACTTAAAAACAGAACTACACATGGACAGAATTAAATTACAAGCATTAAAAAAAAAAGAATGGGACAAGTACCGTCTCCAGCTCATTTTTTGGCAAATATTGTCAATATCCAGTATCGGGGTCAAAACTTAAGTGCTGAGAAAGAGGAGTTAGCTATGACATGGGTATCCAGCAATCATCCATCTGTAATGCCAACTATAATAAACTTCAAAGCTAAGGGGGAACCATTCAAGAAATATATGTTTGCTGAAGATATTTTAAAGAAAGTCACACCTGTGAACTGGTGGAAGTCACTTAAGCACTTGGATTTAGAGACTGTTCAAGTAATGAT